TAATAGCAGTAATACTACTACTAATACATTAGTTCTAAAAAATGATATTGCCAAAATGATACAGAACATGGTAGCCTTTAAACATCATTAATCCACTGAGGGGAATCTGTTTTAAGAAAAGGACATTTTATGGCATCCTACCTCTAATGGTAAATTTACAAAAACATGTGCACCATGGTCAAGAGAACTGTACATGGAGGACTATATCATCATAGTGAGCAGTGTTTGTTTTCAAATCCAATATTCAGAGCATAAGGACAGACTTTTAGGCCAATCCTGTTAGCTGGAATAGTTGAGTTTGGTTGAGGCAGAAGTTGAGAAGTTGAGATATTAGTTCCAATGAAAGACCCCAGTGGTCCCCAAAGGATACCCAAGAAGGTGTCACATCCCCTAGATCACTAATCAGCAGGGAAGTTGTCAGACACATCACATGCTTTTAAATAAAGATTGAGGATAGAAGATGAGGATTTGGAATTAGAGCTTCCTAGCTCCACAGTCTCAAAATTTTTAATGTCACCTAGCCTTGGTTCCCTCAAGTAGAAATTACAATCTCTTCTACTAGGGTTGTTGTGAGAGGTTAAATGAGGTAATTTATGTAAAAGCAGGTAGCACTGAAAAAATGCTCCATAAACGTGAGCTTAACTGAAATCATCCTTAATAATAAAAACAGAAATAATTGGTACTAGGATATCCAAACAGAGGGTGATTCACTTGGTGCTCTTTGGCTGAACTTTGGCTTTAGGACTGGGATGTAGCTGTAAAAGGCTCAGGGGCAGTTACATTTTGGAATTTATCTTAAGGAAAAAGAAAACAGGGGTGCCTGGGTGGCTCAGTTGGTTGAGCAGTTGCCTTTGGCTCAGGTCATGATTTCAGGGTCCTGGGATGGAGCTGCATTGGGCTCCCTGCTCAGTGGGGAGTCTGCTCCTCCCTCTCCCTCTACCCCTCCCCCCATGCTCACAGGCATTCTCCCTCTCTCTCTCTCAAATAAATAAATAAATAAAATCTTTTTAAAAAAAAAAGGAAAAAGAAAACAACTACTATGAAAAAATTTTCCAAAAGGTTGTTTATGGCAGTATAGTTTATAATGGTGAAAATTTGAAAACAGCCTAAATCTCCAACAATAAGGGACTAATTAAAGACATTCATTAAAAATTATACTGTAGATTAAATCAATAGAAGTATTTATTCTATAAGTTTTAGAAGGCAATGTCTAAAATATCTGAAGCAAAAATGTTAACATTTGTAAAATCTGGCTGGTAAAAACAGAGATGTCCGCATAATTCACCATTTTTTATGATTTTTGTAAAATTAAAAAAAAAAAAGCCCATAACTTCCAAAATAGTATGTTCAGTAGAATCATTTATTATGCTGTACTTCTCACAATGTAAGACTCATCACAGTTTATTATAATCCTTGTTTCTTTCCATCTTCCCTGGTAGATTTGCAAGATATTTAGGGCAGCAGATACCTTGCTTATCTTACTCTCCCTAGCCCTTAGAACAATGCTTGAACATAAGAACTTCTCGATAAATATGTGTAAAACCACAGGCACCCCTGTAGAAATAAGACTGGAAGGATATACAACAAAATGGTAGCAGTACTTATCTTTGAGTTGTTTGGGGCTGGTCAATTATGGGTAATTCTTGTTTTCTATATCATGACCTGCAGGAACTTCAGGGGAACTCCTTTCAGATCTAGACTTCATTCGTCTAGGTCAGCACAAATAAATTGTTTAGTTGTAAAGACATACTATTTCTCATCCTTTACCTATATCATCCAGATTAATTTGCAGTTGTTTTGACTTCTCCGTGCCCAGTGCATTTGCAGCTTGGACCCAAACCAAATATTTCTTGCCACCTTGCAATGAATCAGTGGAGATGTTAATATAACTTGAAGAAAGATATTGTTGCTCTTCTTCTGTCTCTAAACTTAAAAAAAAAAAAAAAAAAAAAAAAAAGATTATGATGACCAGTTACATTTGGTTTGAATGAGTTATTCCTCAATTTTTTATGCTACTTTTTTAGCCTGCTTTCAGAATACAAAAATGATTTCATTTTGAAAATTTTAAAAAATAAATTCAAGACTGTTCAGAGTCACACTATGACTTTCATGGGCCCTAAGTCGTTTTGCCTTTACGGACTCATTCTTCCATCAAGAAAAAAATAGTATATATGTGTGTGGGTGTGTGTATGTTTATATAGATACATATATATGTTCATACAGATTATGTTTTACAACAGTTGATATAAAAGCAAATATATTAATATTACATCTTAAACATTTTCTTTGACCTAATGGTTTATTTTTTCTTCTGATTTTATTTTATTTATTTTTTAAGATTTTATTTATTTACTTGACACAGGGGAGGGGAGAGAGCAAGCACAAACAGGGGGAGCGGGAGCGGCAAGCAGAGGGAGAAGCAGGCTCGCCGCTGAGCAAGAGCCCGATGTGGGGCTTGATCCCAGGACTCTGGGATCACGACCCAAGCTGAAGGCAGCCACTTAGCCAACTGAGCCACCCAGGTGCCCCTTTTCTTCTGATTTTAAATTAAATTAAGCATTTTCATGGACTCCTGAAAGTATCATGGGCCCTGGGCACTGTGCCCACTATGCCTACTAGATAAGTCGACTCTAGACAGAGCTTGAAATAAATGAGTACCCTCTGGGAAGGAGCAATGCATAGGAACTCAGTACAAGGGCTTTGAGTCAGACATTTCTACCAGGTGTAGAGTGAGGGTTAAGAATGGCAGGAAGGATCAGGATAGGGTGAGAGATCTGGATGGGGTAGAGAAAGACCGATCTTCTGGGGGAAAACAACAACAACATCAACAACACCCCCCCCCCCCGGCATGTTCTAAAATGAATAAATGAAGTGGCATGCCATTTTCAAGGAAGTTCAGAAAGTTCATCCTCTGGAGCATGAATGTGCAAGAAGTAACTTGAAGTAGAGCAGACAAGATCAAAAAGACTTCCTGTGGACTTTGAAACCAGAGCTGACCAGATCTGGGGGCTGATTAGGTAAGGGGAAAGGAAGTCATTTGCTGCCAAAGAGGATGGAGAAGATAGAGGGGAGAGGCACAGTTTGGAGTGAGAGATAGAGCTACTAAATCATCACTTCAAATTATGTTCATTTAAGTTTTTATCATTGAATGAGTGAGGATCTCTAATCAGCCAATTTAGCTTAGTGAAATTTCAAATGTCATTGTTAAGGCTAAAATTTTAAATTTTATTAATTTCCATTGACTTTGGTTAGCAAGTTTGAGCCTCTTTGTAAGTCTGTTAAAAATTTCTGGGGCACCTGGCTGGCTCAGTCAGTAGAGCATGCAACTCTTGATCTGGGGGTCCTGAGTTGGAGTCCCATGTTGGGTGGAGAGATTACTTAATCAGTCTTAAAAATTTCTACTCCACAATATTTTTAGGGGGTAGGGGCTGGAGGTAGTGGTGAGGGGAGTATTGGGAAATGTTTCTTCCATCCTTTTCTGGTTTCTGGTTTCTGTGAGGAGAAACTGTCCTCAAAACTCCTCTGTTCTGTCTTGTCCCTCCCTCTCTCATCCCTCTTGAAGGTGGGCATGATTCTACTTATGAAGAACTGGACTGCATACCTCACAGTCCCTTCCTCTCTCCCGTTTTCCCTTGGGAGTCAGAAGACCACAGAAATGACCTTTTCTGGTCTTCTCCAATAAGCTGTAAGATTTAGAGGAGTTGGCCCTCAAGTGGGGATGTGCAGCTGTCTAATACTGGCTGTGATTGAGGGCAAGGGCAGTAAATCTGTTTAGTCTGGGAAGATCAGTATTAGAAAGTTCACTGTTGCCACATACCAAAACCATGCCCTCCATTAACAAGCTTCTTCAGTAATAAATATTATAAAATATTTTAAATGTTTAGTTATTTAAATATATATTTTAAAATATTTAAACATAACTATTTTTATATTTCTATTTTCACCTATTGGCTTTTTGATTTCTCTCAGTTGGTTTAGAACTCATGAGGAAAATCTGCAGAGATAAATATTGAGCCACCTCAGACTCTTATACACCATTACCTATAGTCAGATCCATTCATAACATGAAAGTGGTTTTCACTAGACTTCACTAAGTTTGCATTTCTTGAACCCTTTGAACTACCAACTCTTTTTATTTCCTTTTCTTAAGCTTTTCAGTCAGATTTTCTACATCCCTGGTAACTACATCCAAATTACCATTTCCACTTGTTCTTTAAGCTTTTTGTTGTGATTTCTGCCTTCACTTTTCCCATGAAACTACTCTTCTAAAATGGCATCCTTTCCAAGGTGAAGTCCTCTGAATCCTCTTTGTAGCATCCATCCCTCTTGATAACTTACAAGTCTTCCTTCCCTTGGCTACCCAGACCCTGTCTTCTGGGTGAGAGAGCCTACATCTTTTTCTCACACCTGCTTAGTGATATCTTTTCTCCTCCAACCGTCCACTTGGGTTGCCCTCCCTACTCCTCTAACCCCACCACAGTGAGGGTCAGCTCTTAGTGCTTGCCTTTTCCCTCAGCTCACTCATCTTCCTGGTTTCAATCACAACAATGGACAAAACATTTCACACATACAGCTACTGAGTATCTGTACTCTCACTGGGAGCTGCATTTGGAGATCTGCCTGAGACCAGAACTGTAGCATATTTACAACTTGTAAATTCTTCTTCTTGCCCGTTTCTCTCTTGTCAACAGCATGCTGCCTTTCTGATGTCCTCAGTTTACCATTTTTAACAACTTTTCCTCCATCACTTAAGAGCGAACCAAAGAAGGTGAAGTATTTCCTTAGCTATTATTTTCTTATCTTTTGTTCCTGCTTTGATAGCTGTGGCCATGGTCTAAGCCCTAGCTCTATATTATCTGTTCGGTATATTACTTGTAGATTCCTACGTTAATTGTATTACATCGTGAAACCTAACTTAGTATACATCTACTAACTTGGAGGGAAATAACCTTGGAATTTGAACAAAAGTGAAAAGACAAGTACCCTAAATTCTTACATTTAACAAACAGAAACGCTTCACGAATTTGTATGTCATCTTTGATTAGGGGTCATGTTCATTTTCTCTGCACTGTTACAATTATATATAGTATTTGTGCTGCTGAGGCAAGCACTGCTCGGTTTCTTTATCTAATACCATCAACTTTTTTCTGTCCTGGGGGACTGACTTGATAGGATTTATGGGAAAGGAAGAGTTGAAAAATCACAATCATTTCATCTCTACAGCTGCACTTCAGGTCCTGTTACTACTATGCATCTATTTAGCAATGGCCCGAATTTCTCCAGCCCCACAATACCCCAGCCCGGATTATAACTTGCTGGCCACTATGATCTGTTAGAATCCAAAGTGGCATGCTTGCTGAGACACAGAACTCCAGGGGGGGAAAGAGGAACCAGCCTCACTCTACCAAGCAATAAATGCATTTATGAATCAAAATACTACAGAATTTACACATCTGTATTTTAAACTTATTGCCACCACCAGAGCAGGATAATCTCAGCAGGCAACCAAGGAATCTCTCTAAGGCTGACAGGGATACGTGGATAGGGGTGAGGGGTCTACCTGGAATGAAGGTGGCAGCTGCTACTCTAGTTCAGCGTAGGTTTTTAACCCTCAGTGCCTATTTTCCAGTGCTGCCTCTTTCCTCTCAACAGCAGGGAGATCACTATGAACACCAGGAGAGGACAAGGACATATCATAGTGATGAAAAGCAGAGGGCTTGGGTTTTAGAAAAAAAACCTAGGTTCAAATCCCAGCTCTGCCCTTCAATAAAATGTGGGACTTGGAGCCAGTTACTTAACCTCTATGTACTTCAGTTGACTTATCCATACAACAGAAAGAATAACATCGATGTAATCATGAGTAAATAGGATAAGTGAGTAAGGAAGCATGGAGCCGATGGCTTAACAACAATAAAGGGTTTATTAAACACACAATTATTACTGTGGATTAAAAGGTATTTATGATAAGACTTTTACACATTCTAAAGAATACAAATGAAACCTTAAAAGTTGTTATATTTCAACAAGCAAAATTTCTTTTATATTACTTGTATCTGAAATCAAATCCTTCCATTAAATTCAGGTGTTTGCATAGTTCCCTTATATATTTTTTTGAAATAAGATGGAATGTAAATAAATTATGGAGAGTTTGTTTTAAGATATGCTAAACTCATGCTCAATAAGATTTCAAATGTGAAAATAAGAAAATGGCAAATATGGGTTAAGTAGCAAGTAGGGCATCTCTGAGTATTTTCCAGTTAGAGAAAACCACATGCGTGTCCTTGGTTTGTGGCTAATTCTTTTATCTTTTATATTGAGACCACAGTCAAAATGAAAATATATTCTTAAACCAACATTAACCATAGTTATTAGGTAATTTAATTCTGCTTTTAAAGTCTAACTTCATGTTAGCACCTAGATCACAAACACTGTTTTAGATGAAGAATCAGTAATAATGAATGAATGACTATAACTTTGGGGCTATTTTAATATAAAACCATATATTACAAAGTTTTCAAATTTCTTATTTCTATTTCTGGTTTCGGTGTGCTTACTAATACATACCAGATTATTTTTTGAAGGGAGTCAGCATGATTTATATGTCTCTGAAGTTTCCCATGCATCTCACCCTAGTTTTTAATAGATTTTCAATAAACACTGACAATTTATGATGATAATGGTGAATAGTGTTTTCCATTTATTTAGCCACTCATTCAACAGATTATTTATTTAGCATCCACTATGGTCCAAGCGCTACTTTAGACACTGGGAATACAACAATGGACAAAACAGATAAAAGTCCCACTCTTTCTTTCTGAGCCCATAGCGCTCTCACAAACATGGTGAATGGCAAGAACATTCACCATTCAAAACATGGTGAATGTTCCTAAAACCCGCCGGACTTTCTGCAAGTGTGGCAAGGACCAACCCCACAAAGTGACACAGTACAAGAAAGGCAAAGATTCTCTTTATGCCCAGGGAAAGCAGTGTTATGACAGGAAGCAGAGTGGCTATGGTGGGCAGACTAAGCCAATTTTCTGGAAAAAGCCTAAAACTACAAAGAAGATTGTGCTGAGGTTTGAATGTGTTGAGCCCAACTGCAGATCTAAGAGAATGCTGGCTATTAAGAGATGCAAGCATTTTGAATTGGGAGGATATGAGAAAAGAAAGGGCCAAGTGATCCAGTTCTAAGCTTCGTATTTTGTTATATCATGAAGACAATAAAATCTTGAGGTTATTTTTACTTCATTTGGTTGCAGTTGGTCTTTTAAGAGGGAAATAAACTAGTGCTATCAATAAAATTCCCCTTGTGGGGCAGTTTATGCTGGAAAAAACAAAAACAAAAACAAAACAGATGAAGTCCCAACCTTCATGGAGCACACATTCTGGTGGAAACAAATAAATATATGATATACCATGTGGTGATAAATGTTTAGAAGAAAAATAAAGCAAAAAGGGGTTAGGAAGTGCTAGAAGTAGGAGTGGGGATTTTTTTTTTTTAAGGAAGATGAAGATGAGGAAGGCCTGTCTAAGAAGGTGACTTTCCTTCTCTCTGGAGGAAGAGCTTTCTAGAGATATGCAAAGACCCTGAGGCAGAATCTTGCTTGTCCTGTTCAAAGAACAGCAAGGACATCAGTGATGTTTTTTGGTGTAGCTGAGGCAGATAGAAAGGGATTAAAGATGAGATCAGAGAGTCTGGAGGAGGGAGAGATTTCAAAGTTATTATAAGGTCACACCATTGAAGGACTCTGGCTTTGATCTATGAGAGAAATGGGAGGTTTTGAGCAGAGGAGTGACATGATCTGAGCTGCATGTGAAAAGAATTACTCTGGCTACTTGCATATAATAATAACTGTAGGAAGACAAAAGTGGAGGGTAGGGCACCAGTTAGGAAGTTTTTATTAACCCGGATGAGAAATGATATGGTTTGGCTCAGGACTGCAAAGTGGATAGTGAGAAGAGGTCAAATACAATAGGTTTTGCTGATTAATTTTGTTAAGGGCATGGTAGGGAGGAATCTAGGAGGACTCCAGTGATTTTGACCTAAATACTACGAAGATGGAGTTGCCATTTACTGAGAAGGGGAATGCAGTGTAGGTAAAAGAAACAGGGTGTTTCGTTTTGAACATGTTAGCTTTGAGATATCTTTTGGATGTCTAAGAGAGTGCTGAATAAGATGTTAGATATATGGTAGCTGTGGGCAGGGGAGATGTCTAGACTCAAGGTAGATAAATTAGGAAGTTTTACACTATAAATTTGCATTATGTCTTTTAGGTAATGAGTATAGACAGAAAAAAAGGAGATCCTAGGAATAAAGCTATGGGACCTATTACTTTACTAGAAATGAAGAGGCATCAGCTAAAGAGTCTGAGAAAAAAGCATCCAGGAAAGTTGGAGGAGTGGTGTCCTCCAAGCCAAAAGAAGGAAGTGAAAAGCTTAATTAAATGCTCCTGATAGGAAGATAAGGACTGAGAGAAACCACTGAATTTGCTAATGGGGAAGTCGTCAGTGACACTGATAAGACCTGTCTCAGTGTACAGCAAAAAATTGACTAAACTAGATTCAAGAAAAGATGAGAGAGGAAGTAGAGACAAAAAGCACAGACAACTCTTGAGTTTTGCCATAAAGAGGAGCAGAGAAATAGGATAGTGGAGAGAGGAAGGACGAAGGGATTTTGCATTTTTCAAGAGGGCAGATGCTGCAGGTTGTTTGAAAGTTGGTGGGAATGATCCAGTAAAGATAGAAGAGGTGATCATGCAGAAAAGAGAGGAGCATTGTTGGAGCAATTTTCTCCAGGAGACAGGAGGGGTAAGATCTAGCACACAAAGCAGAGAGTTGGCCTCAGGGCAACTGTAGTTCATCCACAGTAGCAGAAAGGAAGACCAAGTATAAGGGTACAGATATCAATGCATCAGTAGATGGGGGAGGCTTATGGTCTTACTGCTTCTGTTTTCTCAGTGAAATTAGAAAGCAGGTCATCAATAGAGAATGAGGAGGGAGAAAAGCCCGCAGGAGACCAGAAATGAGAGAACAAGTAATGAAATAATTATTGGCTTAGTGGAGGAATGACTTGGCCAGTGATAGGTGGCAGGATACTGGGTGGCTATCTGGGCCCCAGTGAGATTAATGGTTATGGATATAAAGTCGCATCAGTTAGTAAGTCTATGTTTGTCCCCAGCCAGAATTAGCTTTCCTAGTATAGGTGCAGAATCAGTGAGGACATGGATTTAAAAATATGAACTGCTTAAGTCCTAGAAGAATTATTGAAATATAACATCACAGCCTTAAAAATATTTGGAATCATGCCAAAGAACTCTTTCTGATTATTAGGAATATGCATATAGAGGAGAAGAAGAAATGGCAAAAACAAACAGGTCATATGAATTGACAGAATAGGCAATTGACCCTAGGGGGTCTAAAATGATATCTCATCTAAAAATAATTGCCCTACTGGCCTTTCACAGTGCCTGAAAATCCCATCATTGGTGTTATTCTAATAACTTTATGACCTTGTCATGCACAGAGATGGTGCCTATCCACAAAAAAATCTCTAGAGTTTAACATAGTAACAAGAAGGCACAAAATGTTAAATAAATATTTGCTAAATTGGCTTGAATGGAATAGAATGAAGGGCCATCATGCATTCATTTTTATCCAGCAAGTATTTATTGAGTAGAAGACACTACAACAGACATTGCAAGAATTTCTAAGAAAGAACATATTTACATGAAGCTGTTGAGGTAATAGACAATAGTCAGTAGATGTTTATTAGCAGAGTTTCTTCTTCTTTGGTTTCTCCTATCACCACTTATTGTATAAGTATATATATATATATATAGCAAAATACAGAGGGTAGAGGAAGGTATGTGAATGGCCATGTAGCTCTGCTGGTGGGGTCACCACAAGATACTAGGGGGAAAGAAAGCTCTTAACACAGATAAATTCCTCTGTTTTACAACTTTAACCCAACACCAGAAGGGAAGCCCTGATGATCTGTAGGCTGCAATAGAGGGAATGCCACCTTTCTGTCACTAGTGGAACAAGTGGGTGGAATGAGGTAAAATACCTCTCCTGTATATGTGATTTTACTGGAAAACAGAACCACATGGGTTGTAAGTGAAACCTTGCAAATGCTGATCTCTATACCTATCTGCCAAAGTGGAAAATACCCTGAGAGCCAAGGATCCAGAATAACCTTTTTAAACTACCTCAACCACAAACTTTTTCCTGGGGGGGAAAGACCTTTTTGATAGTTAGAAAAATTAACTTTCTTTTCTCTACTTTTTTCAACTCATTGTGTGTTTTTAATTAATTTTAAGATGAACAGATGTTTATTCCCTTTTCCAATTTGTGCCTCTATGAGCTCATTTGAATTTGCTACAGGAGAACATTCGCTTTTATGCTAATCCTTCACAACTTTTAGGTCCTTTTTAAAATATGATAAAATTCCATTAATCTGGACTTAATTCAGAATTTGAGTTAGGTTTGTCTGAGTTTGACTATAATTTACTGTTGGATCTTAGAAAATACAGTGAAAACGTTTTTCTAATGGGTAAGACTTTGTATTATTATTATTTAACTAGACTGTGAAGGGAGAATGTGGGAAATGTCTATTTCTACTTATCAGAGTAATTACTCAATAAATATTAATTGAGCAGTTATAATGCACCAGGCCTCATTCTAGGCTCAAGTGATACAGCAGTGAACAAAATAAAAATTCTTGCCCATATTGAGTTTACATTTCTAGTCTGAATGAATGAGTTTACTATTGACAGATGCACCACTGCTAAAAAATTAGTCTTATTTGTATTTTTTTAGTTTATTTTTCTCCAGGAAAGTCTTGCTTTTAGAGCACATTTAACATCTCTTTCTAGATAGTCATCTGCTTAAAGTTACTGTTACTTGAAAATAATGTAGTAAAATTATTGTTTATAATATCCTGTAAATGATCATTTTTTAATGGCCTTATGTTAATCTCCTCACCCAAATCAGTCAGGTTTTGATGTAAGAACAAATCAAAATCAAACAAGCCTAGGATGTCAGCCTTGAGTGTCACCATAATACTCTGCCTTTTTGTTGTTGTTTTTAAACATTTCCTATTTGCAAGTCATTTTTTATAGCTTATGTCGTATAAGCTTTGGAACACCCAGTATGGTATTATCCTCATTTCACAGGAAGCTACGGCTTGGCAAAGCTAAATAACTTTTCCAACATCACACAGGTAGAAATTATGCCAGATACTGTTAGATGACAGTGCTAGATTCTATCAACAATGCCCTTCTCCTAGGTTCCCATCCAGATAGAGTAGACATGTAACCCGGTTCTGGCCAATGAGATGCCAGTGGAAGTCCGAGGGGGGACGTTCTTTTTCCTTCACCACTTTTCCTGCCTGGGACTTGGATGAGAAGCCTAGAGGTGCAGCTTCTGAGGATTAAGGCCAACACACTAAAGCTTATAGAGGGGAAAGGTGGAAAAAGCCTTTGGGATATCAGTGAGTAATCATGCCAGCTCTGTAATTCCTACCACTATGGCTTGATACAAGTAAAGCCCCATCTGTTTAAGTCACTGCACTTAGGTTTTCTGATATTTGCATGATAAAAACACCTAACGGATAAATTTCAGAACTGGAAATCAAAAGTAAAACTCAACACAGCCCCCCCCCCCATTCTTTCCAATGGATAGTTCTGGAAGCATGCTCTTTTATAAATGTATTCTTAATACTTTCAAGGTGACTTTTTGAGTACTGAGAACAATCTCAACACTCATAACTACTACAGGTATTTCTCACTTTATAAGCTAGATGTATTTCTCAAAAAAGCCACGTGTAAATAATTTAAACATATGTAACTAAATGCATTAATGGATTTTAAGAAAAATCTATAATAAATAGGCAAAATACTTGGAGAACATTTTTTTTTATGATACTAAATAGGAAATTAGGTGGTGGTTGGCAAGTTTTTGTTTAACAAATATATCTTCTCAAATTGTGGTATGCCTGTTCCAAATTTATAATGCAATTTTATTGTCAGGAACTTGAGACAGCAAGTAAGTGGCACCTGAAAGAATTAACTCATATCCACTAGATTGGCAATAACCAATAAGATAATAATAAGTGTTGGCAAGAACGTGGAGAAGTTGGAATCTTCATATACTTCTGGTAGGAATGTAAAATAGTGCAGTTGTTTTAGAAA